TATTGCTTTGCGATTTCACTATTTTTGAAATTGTGGATACTATTCATTTAGCAGAAAGCATAAATAAAATGGAAATAACGGATTAACAATTTTATAGAAGATTTTATTTTTTTGTTTAATAAGAGGTCTAAATAGTCACATCTTATCCCACGTGGCTACTATTAAATATTTTTTTTACCCATCACTTCTTACCTGCTTCTGAAGATGAACAATGTTTCGTCCGTTCTGTTACCTACTATGTTTTTTGAACAAAAAACAGAGCAATATCCCAGCTCATTTCTTTCAACCCACTTAGTTTTTCTTGTCTATCTCTTATCTCCAACAACTATTGTTGCCTCCAACAAGTCTCCTAAGTATTACTGATTCTTGCTCTTCTCTCTTCCCTCTGTTCAGCACCTCTGTTTATGAATACAAAAACAGTATAACAGAGCCATTTATTTCACACCCCTGTGTAGCGCACCTCCTCCAACCATTATCTGTAGCAACTAGTATTGTCCCTGACGAGTCCCCAACGTGCACTGTTATCTCTGACAAGCACTGTAGACAACAACAATTGTTGCAGTTTCTCTTTTTTTATTTTTTGTAGTATGACAAGTGAAGAATCTTCAAATCCTTCAAGAGTTGGTGCTAGGATTGACTCCGGATGGAAATATTGCCATCTAGCACAAAGAAATGACATCAATAATTGTGTTTGCAATTTTCGTGGTAAGGTCAAAAAAGGAGGGATTACCCGAGCCAAAGAACACTTGATGGGGAAAAAAATGGTAATATTGCAACTTGCACCAAATGTCCAAAAGAGGTAAGAGAAGAATTATGGGGATATTTGAAAGACAAGAAGAAGCAAAATAGTGGAGTATTTCAAAGGATGTGCAATGATCTTGATGAATTTGGTGATAGTGATGAAGAACGTGCTCTTGATGAATTTGGTGATAGTGGAACATTTCAAAGGATACGCAATGATCTTGATGAATTTGGTGATAGTGAGCTCTTGATGAAGGGTTTAGAAAAATAGTCTAATAATGCTATTGAAAAGAAGAGTGCTTTTAAGGGCCCTATTGATCTTTATTTCAAAAGGCTTGAAACTGCAATTGAGAAAAAGAAGAAGGATAAACTAAGGCAAGCAAGCATAAGGGAAGCATGTGACAAGGAGGCTACTATAAGAGTTCATCAATATATTGCTCGATTTTGGTATCAAGCTGACTTATCCTTTAACATGATTAAGTTGCAAAGCTTTCATGACATGCTTACGGCTATTGGAAGATTTGGGCCAAATTTGAAGCTTCCTTCTTACCATGATATAAGAGTTTCACTCCTCAATAAAGAGTTGACATACACTGAAGTTTTGTTGAAGGGTCAAAAGGAGCAGCAATGGAGAAGATTTGGATGCTCTATCATGTCTGATGTATAGACAAATAGAAAACAGAGATCCTTAATAAATTTCGTAGTGAATTGTCTTTCAGGCACTATGTTCATTAAATCTATTGGTGCGTCAGACATTGTGAAGACTGGTCAGAAAATATTTGTCTTGCTTGACTCTATTATTGAAGAAATTGGGAATGAAAAGATTGTCCAAGTAATAACAAACAACAGAAGCAATTATATTCTTGCTGGTAAGTTACTAAAAGAAAAAAGACCTCATTTGTATTAGACTCCTTGTGCAGCCCATTGTATAGATTTAATGTTAGTAGACATTGGAAAGCTACCTATGATAAAGAAGACAATTTAAAGGGCGATATTTCTGATTAGCTTCATCTATAGTCATATAAGTACCTTAAGCTTGCTAAGGTACTTTACCAGTAAAAGAGAATTGGTGAGACATATAATTACTAGATTTGCTACATTTTATCTCACATTAGAAAGGATTCATAAGGAGAAAGCAAATCTTAGAAAAATATTTGTATCGGATGATTGGACAAATAACAAATTGTCCAAGGAGGTCAAAGGAAGAGAAGCAACAAAAATTATACTCATGCCTTCTTTTCGAAATAATGTTGTGTACATACTTAAGGTCATGACTCTTCTTGTACGTGTGCTTTGCCTTGTTGATAGTGAGAAAAAACCAACCATGGGTTATATATGAGAACAAATGAAAGCAAATATAAGGAGGTTTTTGAAATTATTGATAAGAGGTAGAGTTGCTAACTTCATCGCTCATTACATGTAGCTAGTTACTTCCTAAATCCAGAATTCTTTTACAACAATCCCTCAATTGAATTTGATTTTGAGGTGACAAATGAGTTATATGCATGCATTGAGAGGTTGGGGCCTACTTTAGAAGTGAAACAAAAGATTCTTGAGGAGCTACTAGTTTATACAGCTACTGGTGGGATGTTTGGAAATAAATTTGCAATTTCACAAAAGAACACAATTGCACTAGGTGAGAAACTTTATGAAGTTTTCTCTATTCTTCTAAATTATAACATTTGTTACGTGTATTATTGCAAAATATTTATTTGGATTTGTAGCACAATGGTGGCGAATGTATGGACTATCAACTCCAAATTTACAGCAATTGGCTGTAAAGATCTTGAGCTTGACATGTAGTGCATCAAGATGTGAACGCAACTGGAGTGTTTGAGCAAGTAATTTACTAATTAACAATTTTCTTAGTAAATAATATTTTTTATACTTAGTCACTTGAAGAATTTTGTTAATTTTTATTGAACTTATTGTTACAGATACATTCTAAGAAAAGGAATAGGCTTGAGCATAAAAGACTACATGACTTAGTGTATGTAAAATATAATCAAACATTGCTTAGAAGATGCAATTTTAGGGATGAGATTGGCCCAATCTCACTCAATGATATTGATGAGTGTAATGAATGGTTAGTTGGGAAGATGGATGGTGATGAAGATGATGCTGGGAATGAGAGGGTCTTTGAGGATGACAATGATAATGCCCTTATTTAGGAAGATGTTTATAGAGCTTCAGGAGTTGGAAAACTTATAACACATACTAGGCAAAGATTTCATAAAAGAAAGAAATCACTTAATGTTGTTGGGGCTGCATCTAAGACAAAGAAAAGTTTGGCAAGTGCATCTTCATCCAAAAATGGAAAAGAGCTTATGGTTGAAGTTGAAGATACTGCAGTCTTGAAAGAATCAAAAAAAGAATTAGAAGACAATCAAGATATTGATTTTGAAAATTTAGAAGTTAAAGGATATGTCTCACTATCTGATAATGAGAATGATGATTATATAGAGGAAGAAAAGGATGTGAATGACTGAATGAACAAATTTGTTGTCTTTGTTTAGTGTTTTCAGTACTTTGTTTTGAAGTTTGAATAATTGAACTTTTGACTTGAATCAATCCTATGTCACTTTTTTTATTTACCATTTTTTTTAAATTTTATGTAACTTATTTATTCATATATTGCATTACTACTTAATTTTTTATATTTTAACCGTTATGTGACTTTCGCTATTTATTTGCAATGCTATCCACTATATGTAATTGCAGTTTTTTTTTTTTTTTTGCAATTTTCTACAATCCACTATTGATAACACTGAATTGGATCAACCAGTATTGGGTCGTTTCTTTTAAAGTCATATTTCTAAAAAAAGTTATTTTCAGAATTTATTTTTTAAAAATGATTAATATATTCTAATTTTAATATTTTTTTAAATAGATGTTTGCTGTAGTAGCGTAAACTTAAGAGAATTTTTTATACCTTCTTTAGATTAACAATTGTGAGCCCCACAAAAGGAGAGTCTTCCATGCACATCCTCTCTCAACGGTTAAATTTTGAGTAATGATTTATGTTTTCGGCATTATCATTTGTTTATTCTGATAAAATTATCAAATAATATTAATCCAGCGTGATTGATAAATTAAAGTTGGCATTTAGTAAATTAATATAATTTAATTTAATTAAGTTTTAGGTGAAATTTTTTTGACTTTTTTATTTTTTTTAAATAAGTCCTTCACAATATAATTCTGTTTTACTAAATTGTTCCTTGTGATTCTTCTTTTCAGTTTAGTCTCTTTAAATATTTTGTAAATTTTTCTAAATGTTACGGGTCTTTTATTTGGTCTTCATAAATATCATGATTTTCCATATTCCTGCTGAAATGATTATTTAAATTTAAAAAATCGTGATATTTTGATAAATTAAATGGAAAAACTAAAGGAAGGGGTTATTTTGTAACAATAAACAATTTATGGAGAAATTGTTTAGAAAAAAAATGATAAGTTAAATTAAAAATCGGGATAAAAAACTTAATTATAGAATTACAATATCATAACAATATTCTCTTTTAAAAAAATTAATTATACTCTTTGTTCTCAATTGGTTTATAACAGTATTATATATTTTTTAACCTTTGATCCTTGAAAGTTTCGTTTTGTACAATTTAGTCTTTGTTAAGTTGCTAATATTTTGTTTTTTGAACTAATAGGTCTTCTAAAGGGCTGGTTTATACAAATTGATCCATGAATATGTTACTTTTGCTTATATTTTATTCTTATTTAGCTTGCATTTTTGTTCGAAAAAGATCAAAAGGTGAGTAAATTTAACACATTTAGGACTAAATTGTACAAAGAAAAACTTTTAGAGACAAAAAATAAAGATGACACTTTAAGGGACCAAAAATTGTATATTGTTCTAATATTACAATTCACAGGATTTTGTGTCATATTTTTAATTACATAGTTCAAATCGAGCAATTAAAGTTATAAGGATAAAACATCATTGCAATGTGCATAAGAAAACATATTTTTAAGTAATATTTTTTTTATGGCCCAATTACAACAAGTATGCGATAAACTTTTATTCATAGTATTTTGTATAGTCATAAAGCGCAGTCTATTAGGTGAATCCCTAATGTTTTTTAAGCAAATTATTTTCATAGATAATATGATAAATGTTGGAATATTGAATAAACCCATGAAATAGTTAAGATCAATTAGCTAGTAACATTTAATTTGATGTCCTATATACTAATTATATTGTTTTTTTTTTTTTAGTAACTTTTGTTACAATTCACAGGTAGAAAGGGATGGCAAGGGAAATCGTTGTTTCATTTATTTCAAAAATTGCTAAATGTATTATTGGACCTATTGGACATCAATTTGGTTACACAGTCTTCCACAACAGCAACCTTAAAGGGTTGAAAACTGATGTTCAAAAGCTGGAGGGAACCAAAGACAGTGTGCAACACTCTGCTGATGAAGCTAAAAGGAATGGAGAAGAGATTGAAAAAATTGTGCAGCACTGGCTGCACAAAGCGGATGGCACTATTGCTGAGGCAAAGAAACTTATTGACTTTGAAGGCCATGCAAATGTTGGATACTTTCCCAATATATGGACAAGGCACCAACTGAGTAGGAAAAGAAAAAGGATGACACGAGATTTATGAAGTTTTAGAAGAAGGAAAGTTTAATAGAATTTCTTATCGTGCTGTTTCTCAAGTCACGGTCACACCATTTTGTAGAGGTTATGAGGCCTTGAATTCTAGAACATCAATGTTGCATGAGATTAAGCAAGCATTGGAGGATCATAAAATTTACATGATTGGGGTGGATGGGATGGTGGTGTGGATAAAACAACAATAATGAAAGAGTTAGCTTGGAAAGTAGAGAAAGATAAGTCATTTGATGCTGTGGTTTTGGCAACTATATATGTTGAAAATATTCAAGGCCAAAGTGGTGATAGGTTGGGTTTAAAATTTGATGTAGAGACAAAGCAAGGAAGAGCTGAAAGACTATGTCAGAGGATAAAAAAAAAGAGGAGTATTCTTGTTGTATTGGATGATATTTGGAGGAAACTTGATTTGGTAGAAGTGGGAATTCCTTTTGGTGAAGAACACAAAGGATGCAAATTAGTGCTGACATCTAGAGATCTTAATGTGCTGAACTGTCAGATGGGAACTCGAAAGGAATTTAAGCTTGAAGTGTTGCTTGAGAAGGATAGTTGGAATTTGTTTGAGAAGATGGCAGGTGATGTTGTTGAAGAATTCCATATAAAACCTATTGCAGAAAAAGTTGTTAAATGTTGTGGTGGTTTGCCCCTTTTGATAGTTACTGTGTCAAAGGCTTTGAGAAAGCATGATGTCTCTGTTTGGAAGGATGCCTTGAATCAATTAGGGAGATTTGATCAAGAAAGGTTGCATAAGAAAGTCTATGCTGCTTTGGAATTGAGTTATAATTACTTAAAAAGTGAAGATCTGAAGTCATTGTTTCAATTGATTGGTTCATATGGATTAGATTGTATCCACACTGGGTCACTTTTTTCATGTTTTTTGGGTCTAGGCTTATGTAGATGATAGGAATTAGGTATCTTTTTAAGAAGAATTAGGAATGAATCCCAACTGCAAAACACACACTGCAGAACTTCAAGGGCTGCACCTCCCAATGCCATAAGGCCCCAATTTCCTTTCACCAACCCCCCTCCCCTCTTTATTCCCCACTCTTATTTATAGGCAACATGCTTTGTTCAACTAACTCACGTAACTAACCAACTAATGGAGATTAATTAAGTAATCTGTTTAGACAAACTATCAGTGGAGTGACCTATCAGTAGACATGTGCCCACATTGACTGAGGCAAGACATAGATATTACAAATTAATAAATGACCTTAAGGCATCTATTGAAATGCATGATATTGTTCGTGATATGGCTAAATCAATTGCATCAAGGTTTTATCCAACCTATTAAGGGCAAAAGTTTCTTGAAGTACAAAAATGGATGGAGGTTGATCAGCTTCCAAAGTGCCATTATATTATCAGTCATTGGTGTTACATCATTGAGCTTTCCAAGAAGTTGGAGTTCCCAGAGTTGAAGCTACTTATACTTTGTACTATCAGTAACCATTTGAAACTACCTGATAACTTTTTCTCTGGGATGAGAGAATTAAAGGTTCTTGATTTATACTTCGTACTATCAGTCCCCGACTTCTTCTCTGTCTATTGACAAACCTTCGATCATTGAGTCTATCTGGATTTGTGTTGGGAGACATAGCAATAGTTCAAAACTTACAAGTTTAGAGATTCTCATCATTGAAAGATCTAATGTTAAAGAGCTCCCAAAAGAATTAGGATAACTAGCTCTTCTTTGACTATTGAATTTAGCAAAATTTTCTGGACAGAGTCATTCCTGCAAATGTTATTTCAAGGTTAACATGCTTGGAAGAGTTGCATATGGGCAATACCTTTATCCAATGGGAGGTTGAGGGAAGCAAAAACCTAAGCAATAATGCAAGTCTAGGTGAGCTGAGGAATTTGTCTCAGCTAATAGCTTTGGACATAACAATTCAAGATGCTTCGGTTTTACCAAGGAATTTGCAGATCTTTGCAAAGCTTGAAAGATACAACATATTTATTGGTGATAAGTGGAAATGGTCTTTATAGTGGTATGGTGGTTCTTCTATGTCTTCAAGAATGCTTAAGCTCACAGAGAGTAGAGGTACAAGCATTCTTTTAGATCATGGCTTTATCTTATTGTTGAACTCAGTTGAGAATATGTACTTTGATGAACTACAGTGTGTTATGTTGAAAAGTCAAACGTGTTGCGATTTCGGTGATTGTGTACGAAATTTGCGGATTCGGTGCCAACGCGTTTTGTTGAAAATCAAACGTTTCATTTGCCTATAAATACGAAGCTCTTCCATCCATTCTACGCATCCCATTTCTGAGAGAACAACTGAAAATATTCAGAGAGCAAAAATAAAGAAAATAGTTTAGCTTCTGGTACAATTGGGTTACGGGTTATGAATGGTTGTGAGTCATTTTTGAGTGTTTTGTAAACACTGAGTGTATTCCCTTTTCCAGTAATATATCTGCAGCAGTCCGGAGACGTAGGCATTATTGGCCGAACTCCGTTATCAATTTTGTGTGTGCAATATTCCACATTTATTTTTCACTTCCACAAATCTGACATTACAAGAAAATTTGGCGTAATTTTCCCAACAACTGGTATCAAAGCTGGTTCGAAATTCTGCAATTTTTGTGAGGTACTGTTCATATGAATAGTAAACTCGCAAGTACTGTTCACGTGAATAGTGAAAAATTTGTCAGCATTACAAATTTGTTCACAAACGTGTTCTAAACACAGTGGTATACAGAAATTGTCAGAAACAATTCTGAGGAGAAGTCAGATTTGAGTGGGAGTGATGGCCGCAGATGAAGGAAAGGTGAAAATTGAAAAGTTCGATGGTACAGACTTTGGCTTTTGGAAGATGCAGATCGAGGATTATCTGTATCAAAAAAAGCTGTATCAACCTCTCACAGGAACAAAGCCAAAGGGCATGAAAGAGGACGAATGGAATCTTCTCGATAGACAAGCCCTTGGAGTCATCCGATTGACGTTATCCCGTAATGTTGCTTTCAACATTGCAAAAGAAAAGACCACGACGGATCTTATGAAGGCTCTTTCCGACATGTATGAAAAGTCGTCTGCTTCAAATAAAGTTTATTTGATGAAGCGGTTATTCAACCTTCGGATGACAGAAGGCGCATCAGTAGCGCACCACATAAATGAGCTCAATACAGTCCTAACCCAATTGAGTTCAGTTGAGATTGAATTTGATGATCAGGTACAAGCATTGGCACTTTTGTCCTCTCTACCAGAAAGTTGGAAGACTACTGTCACAGCTGTGAGTAGTTCGACGGGAGACACTAAGTTGAAATTCAATGACGTTCGTGATCTGATTCTCAATGAATAAATCCGACGAAGAGAGTCAGGAGAATCATCAACCTCTTCAGTATTGCATACAGAGTCAAGAGGAAGAAATTCAATCAGAGGAAATGGACATGGTAAATCAAAGGACAGGAGGTCCAAATCTAGAAGTCATCATAGTTCCCACAAATCGAAGGCAATCGAGTGTTGGAATTATGGGAAATCCGGGCACTACAAGAATCAGTGCAAGAGTGCACGAAAGAATCAGGAGGCGAAAGACGAGGCAAATGTTGCTTCCACCTGTGGAGGAGATGATGCGTTGATATGTTCTTTAGAAAGCAAGGAAGAGTCTTGGGTGTTAGACTCTGGAGCATCTTTTCATGCCACTTCGCAGAGAGAATTTTTCAAGAACTATGTTCCCGGAAACCTTGGTAAAGTTTACCTTGGTAACGACCAATCATGTGAGATTGTGGGTAAAGGTGTAGTGAAGGTTAAGTTGAACGGGTCTGTATGGGAATTGAAAAATGTCAAACATATTCCCGACTTGACAAAGAACTTAATCTCAGTAAGCCAGTTGGCCAGTGAAGGCTACACAACAGTCTTCCATGGTGATAACTGGAAGATTTCAAAGGGTGCAATGGTAATTGCTCGTGGCAAAAAGAGTGGTACTCTTTATAAGACAGCAGGAGCATGTCATCTGATTGCAGTTGCAGCAAATGAAAATCCCAATCTATAGCACCAGAGACTAGGCCATATGAGTGAGAAAGGGATGAAAATCATGCACTCAAACGGTAAGTTACCAGGTCTTCAGTCAGTAGAAATTGACATGTGTGAAGACTGTATACTTGGAAAACAAAAACGAGTCAGCTTTCAGACAAGTGGAAGAACCCCAAAGAAGGAAAGACTCGAGCTTGTTCACTCTGATGTTTGGGGTCCAACATCTGTTCCATCCATTAGTGGAAAGCAATACTTTGTGACTTTTATTGATGATCACTCCAGAAAGGTATGGGTATACTTTCTGAAATATAAGTCTGAAGTATTTGAGGCTTTCAAGATGTGGAAAGCCATGGTTGAAAATGAAACAGGATTGAAGATTAAAAAGATTAGAACCGATAATGGTGGTGAATATGAAGACACCAGATTCAAGAAGTTTTGCTATGAGCACGGGATCAGAATGGAGAGGACCGTGCCAGGTACGCCTAACACAATGGTATAGCTGAGCGTATGAATCGAACGTTGACTGAAAGAGCTAGAAGCTTGCGTGTGCAGTCAGGCTTACCAAAGCAGTTCTGGGCAGAAGCAGTCAACACAGCAGCTTACTTGATTAACCGAGGTCCATCGGTACCATTGGAGCACAAAATACCAGAAGAGGTATGGAGTGGAAAATAGGTAAAACTCTCACATCTTAGAGTTTTTGGCTGTGTAGCATATGTGCACATTAATGATCAAGGCAGGAGTAAGCTTGATCCCAAATCAAAGAAGTGCACTTTCATCGGTTATGGTGAAGATGAGTTTGGCTACCGCCTATAGGATGATGAAAACAAAAAGATGATCCGCAACAGAGATGTAATCTTCAATGAAAGAGTGATGTACAAGGACAAGCATAGCATAATCGCCAACAATGCAGAACAGATTGAGCCAGTGTATGCAGAAGTGGATGATGTCCCAGAAAATCCTATAGTTGAGAATCCTCAGTCAGAGGAATCAACTGAAGAGAACAGTGAGCAGCAGTCTGACACATC